AGAACTCCAGCTTGCTTTTTGCCCTGTGCCAAAAATATTCCAAGTGCAGAGCAGAGCTTCAATTACAGGTTTTGGAATAAAGTGAGGAAATTCAGCAACCAAATGCAAAAAGAGCTGATTTGTATTCACAAGGCTGATTTGGATTAAATAACTCCACCTATAATTCCTTTGTCAAGAAAAACTTCAGGGGCTTGTCCAGGAGGTCTCCAAGAATCAGACACAATTGAATGAAAGACAAATAATAATATACTTCCGGCCAAGGGATTGTGGGGCTCTGCACCCCATGGCTGATTTCCTCCTGCCAGGGGACCCTAAATGGGTCTAAAGTCATCCTGGAGAGGTGACGAAAGAGGGCCCCCTTGTTGATCATGGAAAGACAGTGGTTGATCTATTTGAGCTGGGGGAAGCCCTCCAAACCAACAGGAAAAAGGCTAGCTGCACCTTGGTGACTAGCCCAAGCTACCGGCAGCCAAATTTCAAAAGCACCAACTAGAGCAGACTGTGAACAGTATGTTTGAAACTGGGTGAGTATATCAATCTTTTCTGTTCTATCTTGCGACTGATCTCCTGGAAAAGATCCCAAGAAGCAAAAATCCTCCAAAAGTGAGAAGGAAAGGGTTTGCAGCTCCACTCTTCCATAGACAGAAGCGGCTCTAATTTTTATGGGGAACAGAAACATATTGAAATGGAATTTAATATAAAGCTGTAGTTTGGATAAACCTGAAAATTGTGGAAATTGTTAAGATCTTCCCTTTGAAAGAATATTGATGAAATTACAAGAAAATAATTTTCTGTTTTAAAAGTTGGAAAATGAATTGTTACTAACATCTAGTGGTGGACTAGAGTATAAAATTATAACTGCTTTGGCTCAGAAATTAGCAAGATGCCCAAAAACAGATAACAACCTGTACTTTTGATCCTCAGTGACTCTCAGCTAAACAAAGAATAGCTGGGAATAGAGGAGTGAAAATACATTGTGCTATCTACTACAGAATGAGAACTACAATTGTTATTAAAATTGCTGACCTTCTTGGATTATAAACACCTACTGAGCTGTGATTTTCAAGCTCAAGAATCATTTGCAGAGAAAGAAAAACCTTGACTTTTGGCTACTCTTTTAGGGGGGAAACTCCTGAATTGCTCTTAGGTGGTTGAACCTTTTGGACTGCAATTTTGGCTGATTGATAATTGTAGGACCCCTAAGCAGAAGAACTGTTATAAAATATTGTTTTTAATGGTGGATTAGAAACACATTGGACTATAAAGGCCATACATAAATATAAGAACTATATAAGATATTGTTGTTTGGATCTTAAGATTGGCCGGTTGGATAAGATTAATATATGGGGTGATGGTACCTGTGAAAGATTATTTGGAGGGGGAAGGTAAAATAGATGTTGCATACCTAACTAAAAGTGGTAGGAAACTACACCCAAGATTCTTTTCTGAAGCTCCCAGCCTGGAATATCAGAGACCTATAAGAGTAATACTTCAGGATAAGGAAAATATCTTCCAGGAGGAAATGTATACTATATTACAACTAATTCAAATGACAATTGTTTCAAACCATGATGAGATTAAAAATAACGTAGATGACATAAATGAGCACATCTTTAATCTAAGCTTACAACTAAAAAACTCTCAGAAAATGACCACAAAGAATGAACAAATAAATAAATATAATAATAATAATAATAATAATAATAATAATAATAATAATAACAATAACAATAATAATAATAATAAGTTGGAAGGGACCTTGGAGGTCATCTAGTCCAACCCCCTGCTCAGGCAAGAAACCCTATACCATTTCGGACAAATGGCTGTCCAGTCTCTTCTTAAAAACTTCCAGTGTTGGCTCATTCACCTCTTCTGGAGGCAGGTTGTTCCACTGGTTAATTGTTCTAGCTGTCAGGAAGTTTCTCCTTAGTTCTAGGTTGCTTCTCTCTTTGGTTAGTTTCCACCCGTTGCCCCTTGTCCTGCCTTCAGGTGCTTTGGAAAATAATTTGACTCCTTCTTCTTTGTGGCAGCCCCTGAGATATTGGAACACTGCTATCGTGTCCCCCCTTGTCCTTCTCTTTGTTAAACTAGACATATCCAATTCCAGCAACCATTCCTTAAATCAGACAATAGAACACAAATCAGAGGAAAGTGACCCAAAGATGGAGGCTACAAACAAAGGGAATTACAGCTCAGCACAGGCAAAGAAAAATCTGCAAGACTCTGTTATAATATTGGAAATGGAAAAGGCATTTTATCTATCAGGACTTCAAAATAAACCAGAGGATAAGAAAGAAGATCTAATAAAATGGATTATAGAGATGCCAGGAGAACTACTAGAGTTTGGGAGACAAAGAAATGAAAAGAGAAATTGAGGGAGAAGGAAAGTAGAAGCTTTTTAACAAATACAAATGGGCAAAACTCCCTCTCAAAAGTACCCCACCAAATCTGTCTCCCTCATTCCAATAACATTCATTAAAATATAGGAGGAAATCCCTGGCAAGCTGAATATACTGACTCAGAAAGTTATTTGGCAAAAGAAAAAGGCTAGAGTTAGATTTAAGAGATCAGATGACTTGACTTACCAGATGGAGTATTAACATTTGTTTGAATATGGCTAAAGTATAGATAAAGTTTGGATATAAATGGGTTCTATAGTGAGAGGGATGTGATTTATAAGTAGTATAGTATTTTTTTTATGATTTGAGAAATGTAAAAATACTGGGATGGCTTATGTGAACAAAATGTCTGGACATTTAAATGTAATTAATTTTGAGAAAATTATAATTGACAAGAATGTTTTGAATACAGTATTGAGGGGAAATGAAGCTTAAATAAGAACTTCGAAAACAGGACTTATAGTGACTTAATAAAATGACTTTTTGCAAACAACCAAAATATAAGATGATTAGAAAAGATGTTATATACTGATGTTAATGTTATTTATATAAACACTAGAAAAATGTTTATATTCAATTTTGTATGTACTGAAAGTACTAAGAATTGTATTTACTCAATGTTGGCAAAAGGAAAATACTATTGGAAGAAGAGAAGATCAAGGAAATGTATCACTAAATAGTATGTTGATTATGGAATCATAGAAATTAACTATTCTTGATTGTTAAATATATGAACCCAGACAATGCATTGTTTACTAAGCATTAAAGATTATTGTAAAAAATTAATAAAATATATTTTAAAAACAAAAGACAAATAATAATAATTCTTTGACTCAAATTCATCTCTAAAAAATAAAATAATAAAATAAAACTGCATTTCCCTCTTATAGCATATTCTCTGTTCCTCCAAATCCATGCCCCTCCAGTTCAAAATTTTCTTCAAATTTGGCCCTCAATAGATGTTAGAGAGAGACTGCTTCTAAACGTGGGGGCTTAGAGTCCTATTATGGTTGATAAACACTAGACAACCTGTGACCCACTGGGTTATCTTTTCAGAGATATTTCCTTTATCAGATTCCTCGCTATCTTCAATAATGGTAGAATTTCTAATGTACTGTCTTCACTGGAAAAGTTGGGATACATTCAGAGATGTACCTGCTTTGAAAATAGTCCATGTTGAACCATTTAGCACAGTCAAACATTACCACAGGAAATGTTTTGTAACATTTTCTATTATGTCATAGTGTTATGATAATTTCATATCATAAAATATTTTATAAATTTTGCCAAATTACAGTTTTATGGGAGTTATGAATATCAGGTTTTGGACACATTCTGTAAGTTAGCCCATTTAAGGTCCCTTGGTTCAAAACATGTCACCTTACAATGCACCATTTTGTCTAGTTAAAGGTTACAAGAATGAGAGTTTACTTTGTACAGGTAGTCCTCAACTTATGACCACAACTGGGCTCAACATTTCTGCTGTTAAGTGAGACATTTGTCAAGTGAGTTTTGCCCCATTTTATGACTTTACTTGCTGCAGTTGTTAAATGAATCACTGCAGCTGTTAAGTTAGTAACAAGATTGTTAAGTGAACTAGTCTTCCCCTGTCAGAAGGATGCAAAAGGTGATCACATGACCCTGGGACACTGCGACTGTCATATACATGAGTCAGTTGCCAAGTGTCCTGAATTTTGATCATGTGACCTGGGGATGCTGCAATGGTCGTGTGAAAAATAAGTCACTTTTTTCAAAGCCATTGTAACTTTGAACAGTCACTAAATGAAGTGTTATAAGTTGAGGACTACCTGCATATAGATTTAGCAACTCATCTTCCATCGATTTATTTGAAGGTAGGCCTTGCTTAATGACTTATTTGTTTAGCAACCATTGAAAGTTACAACAGTCCTGAAAAATAACTTTAATTACTAGTCCTCACATTTACAGTCATTGCAGTGTTCCCATATACAGTCAGCTTCCAACAAGCAGAATCAACGGAGAAGCCAGCAGTAAAATTTGTGATGTTTGTGATGTCTCGCTTAATGATCAAATGGGAAGTGATACTGTCAGTCCATCACGGTCACATGATGTTTCACTTAGTGACCGCATCACTTATTAAAAGAGTTGCCAATTCCAGTTGTGGTCTCTAAGCAAGACTTCCTGCACTGCTTGTTTCTCATTAGAAACAGCAACAGATTCCACAGGTTAATTTGCATCATGAGAAGAAACATTGACTTTTGTCTCTCTGTCAACCTGTCTTCGAGAGACATGGGGCACGGTTCACACATTATGCTACAGTATCCTATGCTTTGTCTCATTTTGGCTCTGCACATTGTTCAGACCTAACTATTGTGGTTTGCAAGCCATGTTTATGGGCTGAATCCCACCAACTGTAGTGGAGTTATCTATGGGTTAATGAGATGTGTAACTTGGTCATGCATGAGCACCCTACTGCAGTTTCTTGGTTCCAAATGCCCTCATTTCCTTGTCTTCAGCTTGGTCTTTTGTGATTGGTGGATTAACACCCAGTCTAGGCTGCAAGCATCATCGACTTCACAATAGTGCCATTAGATAAGTCCTGCCAAAGATCCTTGAGGCCAGGGAAAATTGCATCTGCTTTCACTGGCATCTACTGTGCTGGATCAAGCAGAAAGCTAGCTAAGATGTTGGTAAGAGTCCAAGGCAGACCCACAATGCCCTCAAAATTTTATTTTCCCCTCATTCTCAGGGCTTTCACCGTGGTCCCACCAACCCTTAATCCAGAGATGTGATGGAGAGCAATTTTATATTGTTTTGAATGACAACTCCAACCTATTCATTCAACTTGCCTCTTTAAATTGGCCAGGTTTATTCAGGAAAGGTGCTCCTGTGGTTCCAATTTTCAAAAAAGGGGGAAAGGTGGTTCCAGGAAATTATAAGCCAATCACCTTGACATCAATAGCTGGGAAAAGATAATCAAGCAGTAAACCAGTGAGCATCTAGAAAAGAGCAAGGAGATTACTAGATGCCAACATGGGCTTGTTAAGAACAGATCATGCCCGACAAACCTTATTTTCTTCTTTGATTAAGTTACTAAATTAGTGGAACATGGAAATGCTATGAATTTAGTGTATTTGGACTTTAGTAAGGTATTTGATAAAGTAGATCACAGCCTACATCTTGGTAAGATAGAGCAATGTGGGATAGACAGTACCCCCACCAGATGGATTCGCACTTGGCTGACTAACCACAGTCAGTATGTAGTCCTCAATTGAACTACATCTACGTGGAGGGAGGCATGCAGCAAGATACTTCAAGGTTCTGTATTGGGGCCAGTACTCTCCAACATTTTTATAAATGTTCCAGATGAGGGATAGAAGGGGAAATTTGCAGACGATACCAAGCTGGGGAAAATTCCTAACACTTTGAATGTTAGACTGAAGATTCAGAAGGATCCTCACAGACCTGAGCATTGGGTCATAGCCGACAAGATGCAGTTCAGAGATGAGAAAAGTATGGTATTGTACTTAGGTAGAAAAAACCAAATGTATAGGTACAGAACAGATGGTACCCAGCTCAGAAGTAGTAATTGTGAGAGGGATCTAAGTGTCCTGATGGACCACCACTTAACTACCAGTATGAACCAACAGTGTGCTGCCAAAAAGACATCAACAGAGAGATAGCATCAAGATCATAAGAAGTGATAATACCGCTTTATATTGTGCCAGTGAGGTCACACTTGGAATGCTGCATCCAGTTCTGGTCACCAAGATACAAAAAAGATGCTGAGGTCCTAGAAAGAGTGTGTAGAAGAGCAACAATCATGATAAAGAGTCTGGAGGCTAAATCATATGATGAATGGTTAAGGAAACTAGATATGTCTAACCTAACAAAGAGAAGGTTTAAGGATGACATGATAGTCCGTGTTCCGGTATTTAGGAGCTGTCAAGAGAGGGGGTTGATTTATTCTCCAAAGCATCTGAGAGTAGGATAGGAAGTAATAGATAGAAGCTTGTCAAAGAGAGATCCAGCCTGGAACTAAGGAGAAATTTTCCTGTTAGTGAGAACAATTAATCAATGGAACAGCTGGCTTCCCAGACTTGTGGGTGTTCCATCACTGGAGGTTTTCAAGAAATGATTGGATAACCATTTGTCTGAGATGGTAAAAGTTCCCCTGCCTTAGGCAGGGAGTTGGACTAGACCTTCAAGGTTCATTCTAGTTCTGTGGTTCTATTCTACATTCTGAAGTGAGTGGCCTCTGTTGTGTGTTGTATCTTTCAAGTGAGCCAAAATCCATGCTGGCTGAGTGTGATAGAATTCATAATGCAGCACAACAGGTGAGGTAAACTAATTTTGTGTAATGCCTCCCTCCCTCCCCCCTATAAATGTATGTATTACATTGGGGTGTTCTTATTACATTTTGTCTCCCAGCCTGAAAATACAAAGTTGAAGTATAAAAAATACTTAAAGAAACACATTTAGTTGTTAAGATTAAAAACCAGAACTGGAAATATTAGGAAATTTTATTTGGTGCATATTTTCAAGAAAAGAATTCTAACCTATACTTTCTAGATCACAGGTAAACAGTTAATTTTCCCAAGGGACCACATGAGAAACTGGGACTGTTGTGGAGGTCCAAATCAATAGGCCACTCACGCCTGGCTACTGTTCTTCTGCCATAGGCACAGGAAGTGCTTTCTCTCACCAGCTGACTAAAGGAATGCACACAGCTTCTTTTCCTGTCACCTGCATTGCATTTATATAAATGTGATTTTCTAACTTCCAATTGACCTCACATGGACAGGACAGGGACAGCTAAAGAGCGGGACGTGGCCTGGAAGACCATAAAATGCCTAGGTCTGTTTCTAGACTAACATGCTACCAGAACAGTTTTTTTTAAAAGGTAGATTATGGTTTAGAAATGGTGTACAGGGACATGATGATTCAACCCAACCCCACAGCCTGCTTCCAATAATATTCAGTCAGATATTTCCAGAAAACTCCTGTTTAGCTTTTTGTCTCCAGCAACTACTAGTAATATGCTGCCTCTGATGAGTCTTCAATTTAGCTATTGTGGATTAAAATGCCCATTGATGAAAACTTTGTTCCATGAATATACCCATGATTTTTGAGGACCACTTCATCTATGTCAAACTTGGGGGACCAAGCAATTTTAAGAATGTGCAGCCATGTGATGTTTTGTCCTACTTCTGTGATTTTATCCTAGCTAGATAACTTCAGACTTTGGCATTCTGAAGACTGACTCTGAAAGGAAATTATCTGCATGTTGAATTTTCTGTTGCTGTAAGCCTAGTGTGATTAGGATCCCTGACTGCAAGGAAGATTCATGTGTACTGTGCTGCCATCAAAATTCTTGCACCAGTCTTCTTGTTCAACATGAGAAGGGCTGGGTGAGATGTAAGGAAATAAAAAGTAGGTCTTGAATATAGGATATAATTCCTCCCGCCATGAAGACTTTGCAACAGTCTAATTTGAACTATGCAAGTGTGTTATTTAGCTGATGTTCTCAAGGACTGGATCTATCAAAGTCCAATCCTTGGAAACTAGTTTTTAAATTCTTCTTCCAAGGAAGAGACCAGGCTCAGAATTCACAATCTTCAGAAACAGACCTGAGCTACACGCCTTCCATATACCTCTGCCAGCTGTGTCCCGTATTCATAGAGTGATTGCTTCCATTGTCTATGTTGCTGCAGCTTGGAAACAAAGCTAATAAGTTCCTTACTAGGTGAAATTACTAGACTGGCCAAGCTGGAGAAGAAAGAAAAACCAAGGTCATTTAAATGCACATTTCTGCAATCATCTACCCTTTAATTGCACGTTTGTTAATGGAAATACTATTTGCAGATATTTTTTCCTAATTTAATGCATTGATGTTCATAATAGTTTTTGAATGTTTACATTTTAGTATATATTCTGTATTACTTCCTCTGATAGGATTTTTAAAAAGTAGGATAAAAAGAATATTGATGCTTTTGAACTTTGATGTTAGAGGAAGACTTCTGAGAATATAATGGACAGCCAAGAAAAAGAAAGGATCATCGAACAAATCAATCCAGAGTTCTTACTTAAAGCACAAGTGATCAGGCTCAAATTATCATTCTTTGGACAAAGTATGGTAAGACCTAATATTCTGGAGATACCTGTAATGCTGGGAAAAGTGAAAGGAAAGAGAACAAGAAGGAGACCATCAACAAGGTGAATGAATTAAATTATAGCAGCAACAGATTGGCTGTTAAAAGACTTGAAGGACCAGGTGATAGACAGATCTTCTTGGAGGATGGATAGATAGATAGATAGATAGATAGATAGATAGATAGATAGATAGATAGATAGATAGATAGATAGAGATTCATTAAGAATTGATACTAACCTGATGGCACATAAGCATTTTATTTGTATCAAGAAATGGCTAGCAGACACAGAATTTGGAGAATTGCACATTTTGAAGGATAACTAACATTTTGGTTCAATAGCAATAGTACTTACACTTATATACCACTTCACAGTGTTTTACAGCCCTTTCTAAGTGGTTTACAGAGTCGGCATATTTCCCCCAACAATCTGGGTCCTCATTTTACTGACCTCGGAAGGATGGAAGGCTGAGTCAACCTTGAGCCAGTCAGGATTGAACTCTTGGCAGTGGGCAGAGTCAGCTTGCAATACTGCATTCTAACCAATCCACCATCACAGCTCCTGAAATTTTGGTTCCAAAATATAACATTAGATAAAATTGCAGTCCAAATGCAAACAAAATATTTTTTCTCCATTCCTAATCTAGAATAGGCATGTCAAACTCACGACATCATGTGACATTGCACGACGTATCGGAGCTTTTTCGCCATTGCCAGCAATGGGATGACTGCGGCTCAGCAGTTTGACACCCCTGGTCTAGGATGATGATGATGATGATGATGATGATGATGACGATGATGGCAACGACGACTATGTGCCATGGTCCAATATTCCATCAGTTCCTATTAGTCATCTAACTTTGCAATAACCAAAGTACTGATCTAACTTTATCTTTTAGTATTAAAAACTCTTGGAAATGGACAGTATCTTCTATGGTATCTTGGATGTTGACATCTTTTCTGTACAGAACAATCTTAGTCTGATTTTCTTTGATCAAGTACTATTTGTCTATCAGTGTCCTTTATTGTACCAATTTGAGGTTAAAACTTCCTACTGAGTTCAGATATTTTTGGAAAACATTGCTTGTTTGTCTGTGTCATGTAATACTGCTATTTGTGTTTTCTAACAGCTCTCTGAAATTCTTTGTTCCTTCCTGAGATACTTGTGTTTCTTTTAAAGTGATTCCTGATATTTGAAAATGATGAGAAATTTGCTTAAATTGAGCCAGTTTTGTGTAGCACGTACAAGCTAGAATCAGGAGATTGTAAATTCTAGTTCTGCCTTAGACATGAAGCTAGCTGGGTGACCTTGGGCCAATTACTACCTCTCAGCTGTTGGAAGCAAGCAATGGAAACCACTTTTGAAATCTTTCCAAGAAAAAAGGCACAAAAAAATAAGTCAGGGGTCTTCAAACTTGGCCCTTTTATGACCTGTGGACTTCAACTCCCAGAATTCCTCAGCCAGGCACGCAAGTCATAACAGGGCCAAGTTTGAAGACCCCTGAAATAAGTGCTCAAACTGATTCATTTTGTCCTTTAGCTTATCCTGGAACTTGCACACAAACTGTCTGTAATCCATCCACAGTGAGCTCTCGGCCATGCCGTTGTTGTCCTAACTGAGCTCTTCTATATCCTTGTACCATAATACAGTTGATGTGATTTCTGGCAATTCCATCTGGTGATGTCTGTACATATAACCTTCATTTCAGTTGTTTAAAAACGGTGTTAGCAATGAAGAAATTGTTGGTTGACAGAAATTAATAAGTCATTCATTCCAACTACATTTGTCTCCTTAATATTAGAAATATATTTCCAATGCCAATATTTAACATGCTAGCCTCAAACAACAAGGAGGAGCATATCTTGCTTGGATTTTTGTCAATCTCAGACAAATGCGACCATAAAACTCATGAAGCTCCTCTTCTTCTGTATCAGTAGTTGGAGCAGAAACTTGGATTATTTACTTGCTTATTTGTATCCTGCCTTTATTATTTTTACAAATAACTCAAGGCGATGAACATATCTAACCCCTTCCTACTACTACTTTCTCCACAACAATAACCCTGTGAGGTGAGCCGGGTTGAGAAAGAGTGACTGGCCCAAGTTCACCCAGTGGGCTTTCATAGCTAAGGCAGGACTAGAACTCACAGTCTCTTACTTTCTAACCTGGCACCTTGAGCACGAGACCAAACTCTCTGTAATTGCTATAGTAAAAGATTATCCATGAAGTGTAATTGATATTATTTAGTTATGGATTGCAGTGTGTTCTTGCTCTACCCTTCGTAAGAAAGCAGCACCCTTCGGTCTTTGTTTTTCACGTCTTGAGTAATACCAAGGATACAGGAGACATTACATTGGTGAAGGTTGCAGTAGTTCCCTGTCGAAAATTATTGCAAATAATCTTTGCTTTAGATGAGGGAAGAAAACTCATTTGTCAATCTCCAAGGGGAACCTATGGCTTACAATTTTTATAAACGGTTATCATTTCCCTGCTCTGCTTATCTTATTTTCTTTTCTTGATCAAAGGCAAAAATAAGCTTTACTCTTTCCTTCCAGAAAAATCCCTCGCAAGCCCTTACTTATTTTAGATGCCCTTTTCTTTTCCAGTTTGTCATTAGAGATTTGGTGACCAGAAAGTACAGTCTTCCAAACCTGGCTATACTTTCACTTTATATAATGGCATTGATGCTTGCAATTTTGTATTCAATCACTTTCTTAATAACTCCAAGCTCTGAACATTCCCCCTTTTAGGGCTGTAGCCTGCTAAGAACATCTAGCTGAGATAAGTTTCATAGGTAGTTACAACCAATTTAAAATCCATCACTGGATGTGAGAAGGTAAAATTATTGTTATTTTGTCAATCTGTGAGTTGCTTTACATTTTTCTCCTGCTAAATCTTATTTGTCATTTTAATGAGCAGTCACCCATATTTGGAGGGATTCTGTAAGAGTCTGAACAATCAACCTAGATTTTACTTTTCTAACTAATTTGTCATCAGTAACCATCTGGCTAAATGATATTACTATGTTTTTTTAAAGAATAATGTCCTCTTCTATACCTCTTAAATATATGCATTTATCCCATTTCATTATTGTAGAAGATAAAAAAATCCTCCTATTTTCAATCTAGTTCTGGTTTGCATATGGTCTGTTTTTTCTAATTCTGCCTCAATTTGTGCTATAAATATACTGATTATGTGCCATCAAGTTACATTTAATGTGTTAGATAGATATTTTCCAAGAAGCAATGGATAGAAACTAATCAAGGTGAGAAGCAACCTAGAACTAAGGAGAAATTTCCTGACAGTTAGAATAATTAATCAGTGGAACAGCTTGCCTTTAAAAGTTGTAGGTACTCTAGTATTAGAGGTTTTTAAGAAGAGATTGGACAACTATTTATCTGAAATAGTATAGGGTCTCCTGCTTGAGCTGGGTGTTGAACTAGAAGACCTCCAAGGTCCTTTCCAACTCTTTATTCTGCTATTCTATTATGATGATCTGTCCCTAACTTGGTCCTTCAGGTTTTCCAAGGATGCATCCATGCCCACTGTAATTGAATCCATCTATCTTCTGCTGGCTGTTCTTCTCTTTCCTTTCACCTTTCCTAGCATTAGAGCCTCTCCAGAGAATTAGGTCTTTTCATGTGTCCAAAGTCAGTTAATTTGAGCCTGGTCATATATGTCTTGAATGAGAACTCTGGATCCATTGTGAATGTATGCATTTTTACATATCTATATATTTGTAAATATTGTACACCAAAGTATATATTTTTAAATAGAGTATATCCTAAAATATGCATTTCATTCAATTTAGCCACTTGCATTTGTTGAATCAAGATCTGTTTCCTAAAAGCCCTCAAGAATAACTGGATGCCTTTGTGTATCAGAAAAAAATGGACCAAACAAAATCCAGAAGCTTTTGTAAAGAACAATACTGTGAGGTAGGCAAGGCTGACAATGAGCATTCAACTTCACTCAGTAAAATAATACAGAAAGCCAGAATTACAGAATGTAAACTACTGAGGTTTATACTGTAATGGGAGAAAAAAGCTAAGGGTATACCACAGATAATTAATTTATAGAACTACAAATAATTAATTTATAGAACTAATTTATAGAATTTATAGGCCAGAAATAGAGGGAGACAGCACAAATTCATGAAGGAAGGGAAAAGAAAATGTCAATAGCTCTGGACTATTGATTTTGGAGTGAAACATTAGCCTTCAATATAATATATGAGGGGAAAAAATGAAAGAAGGACATTACCATTTTTGTATTCTAAAAAACAATTGTGCATAAATGTTGGTATCAAATAAATATCTAAAAAGAATGTTCCTCAGAACACGTTGAATAATTCTTTAGTATTTCAATTTTTAAACAGCAATCTTATCATTTCTCTCTTGTAGTAAACTTGCTTTTTAACAACAGCAACAATGACACCTTAATTCAACAGCTTCTGTAACTCTGCATTTAGAATAATCAAAGCTTTTATCTGGCTAATCCCTCCTGAATCTGAGCAATTTTGTTCTCCTGCAAGAGGAAATATAGTCTGCACCTAATTTTGCAGACTAAAAAAAAAAAAAAAATACACACAGCCTTTGCATCTTTTTTTTTAAGTTAGAGAATTTTAATTATTTATGCCATTTCTGTGTCATCTTGTCCCCAAGAAATCAGGCTGCAAATCATTTTTCACTCCACGCACATTGTAACAACTTGTGAGATGGGCCTGGCTGCCAAGTAGTGTCTGGCCTAAGGTCACCCTTTGAGCTTTATTTCTAAGTGGGAATTTGAACCCTGACCCCTCCTTCTTCTCCCCCTCCAGATCTTGCCTGCCATGTCATCTACATCTACTGCATGATAATAGGCAAATCCATCCTCCAATCCCCAAAGCATCAAAAGAGGACAAGGTTTAGCATCTTTGCACTTCTTCCCAAACTCAGCAAGTGAAACCTGAAATCTTCTGCTCAGTTATTGAGATAAACATGGGGGGGAGGGCAAAGGGGAATTTAAAAAGAATCAACAAGGCAGGTTCTATCACAATGGCCGTCACCATCTTGATTTTTCAACCCACTTTGCAAGCTCACCTGTGTAACTCGCATAAGTTGATCTTCCTACTTCAGACCCATGTTTTACTCCCATTTTTTCCCAATTCCTTAGTTATACCCTTAGATGATGCCATTGGCTGCTGTCAACCAATTAGGGACCACACAATTCCATAAACCAGGGGTCTCCAACCCTAGGCCATGGCCCACCTCCCAGCATTGAGCCATTCAGAACTGGGCCACGAAAGTGGCGGCTGAATGCGCAAGCGTGTGCATCCCCATTTCACGAACAGCAGGCTGGTGCATATATGCATGCTCCATTTGTGCTAGTGGCATGCGTGTGTGCCTGCCACTCCCAAAAATAGAGCTGTGCACGCGCTTGCCCACTGCTCATTTGAAACCATCCTCTCTCTCCACCCCCCTAGTCCGCAAAGCTGAAAAGGTTGGGGAACTCTGCCATAAAGAACTGTTTGTTTCATGAATATATCATGTAAAATAGAAGGAAAGGGCTAAGAGGAGGGAGGTATCTTTCAGTTCTCCACATTTCTGATTTGCTCCAGCAGCTTTTTGGCAAGCCAGAGTAACTTTTAGGACCACCACCTTCTGTTTCTGAACTGCCATCTCATTGCAGGGGAAAACAGCAGCAATACCGATGTCCATCCCACATAGACAACGGCAGGAAGTCTTCTACTGCTCACCTGGCTACCAGTCTGAGTACACACTCTTCCATACTACCCGAATCATCAAGTATGTTTTTTTGGATGGAAGCCAGAACATTGTCCCATTGTCTCAGGCCTCCTCTGGCTTCGAGTCTCAACTTGGCTATGTGGAGTCTAATAAGGGCTATTACTATCCACTTGTCATTCCGGACCACAGCCTGGCCAGTTCCTTTTGGCCACTGGACCTTGGGCGTCTTCCCATTTTCATCACTCTCTCCAAGTGTCAAGAGAAGCCAAGTGCTGGCTGGGGGCGGCCTCTTTTTTCTCGGGATCGATTGCCTGTGTTCCGGCAGTTGTGTGGAGAAGGGGTGCTGTTAACATCCCATAACCATGAGAATAAAGTGGGTCTGAAACCAAGCAAAGATGAATTGGAAAAAACGGAGGATGCAAAGGCACAGGAAATAGGAGGAAATATAGATGGAGAGGGGGAGGAAGAAGAACAGGAAGAGGAAGAGGAAGAAGAGGAGGAAGAGGAGGAAGAGGAGGAGGAAAAGGAGGATAGAAGCTGCATGCTCCAGAATAACTGCTCAGGAAAGGGGAGCTAAGCTCTAAGGGGCTTTTTTTTTCCAAATTCACAATAAAATCTGGGGTGCCAAATTACTTTCCCCTCCTCTATAATTTTTGAATCTGCATCCCTGTAGGATGTTGCTTTCTGTATTACAGCAAAGCTGGAGAGCAGATTCAGGCACTTTCTCAGTTTCTTAAAATGGTATGATTCTATAAGATTTACATTTCTAAAACTACAGTCAAGTTATCATCCACCCTTATTCACACGTGATGCTTATATAGACTGATTCTATAGAAGAACAGAGCTATCAGTAAATTCTTTCACCCATAGTCATGGCAGGTAGTGAGAAGAATTGGATTGCTTAAGTGAGAAAAATGGAACTATGTGTGGGCTCTCAAATGTGAAGAATTAGTAATGAGAAAAGACTCAGAGATTAGAATAATTAGATGAATTAGAATAATTTCATTAGAATAATCAAAGACACAAATGCATACATTAAACCTTGGATGAAACTGGCAGCTACTTACTTAAAACTCTAGAAAAGAATGAGAGGACAGGAACTGAATGTAAAATTTGAAGCATGGAGAGAAAACAGCCCTTCAAATTCCTAAATTCAAATCCATAAATTGGAGTCAAAGCATAGCAATTAATTCCCACATTATCAGAAGCAACTTATTTGAGCAGGGTTGACCTGCTTAAAAAGAGGTTAGAGATAAAGGGAAGAAATAGACACAGGAGGAGCAAAAAGGAAACTGGAGATGCAAATGTTATCTGCTGCAATGTTGGTGGGCAGGAAGTGGGCAGAGACAACTGCCTGTGTTACAGAAGGAATCAGATCCTCTGGGCTGGTCTGTGGAGCTGACATAACAATAGCAATAGCATTTAGACTTATATACCGCTTCATAGTGCTTTACAGCCCCTCTCTAAGCTGTTACAGAGTGAGCATATTGCCCAACAATCTGGGTCCTCATTTTATCAACCTCGGAAGGATGGAAGGCTGAGTCAACTTTGAGCCAGTCAGGATTGAACTCCTTGGCTGTGAACAGAGTCAGCCTGCAATACTGCATTCTAACCACTGCGCCAAGTTGGATCCCCTTTAGTGAATTCATAATGAAGAATTATACATTATACAATTATACATTGATGTGAGCCAGTTTGATGTAGAGGTTAAAGATGCTGGATGAGGAGCAGGGAAATCAAAATCAGGCATGACTTTGGGATGACTTGGGCTAATCTCTCTTTCTCAGGCTTCTGAGAGGATGTCAAAAGTATAACCTGAACATGTTATAAGACTGACTTGAAGGATCATAGCGGTAGAGTAAAATTATTGGATCTCTTCTTAAAACTAAGAAGAGATGGGTGCTACCCCATTCAAGGTCCAATTACCAGAGCTTCCCCTCACTGGACATATTTAAGTGCAGACAAATATATATATATATATATATATATATATATATATATATATATATATATATATATATATATGCTTTAATATGGGTTACTGAACAGGGGGTTAGACATGAGGGCTTAAAAGGTTCCTTTCAACTGCATAAATCAATAATTGTTTGTTTAAATATCTTGGCATTTGGAAACTGTTTTTATGGTGGTTGTTTTGCTCCAGAATAAAAGGAAGACAATCCTGTGGACATTAATTGGTTTATCGTAACTAGTGGAAAGATACTTGAAAACAAAGAGGGTTTTTGGTGCCATCCATCTTCAGTTGCTGCATTTTTTAATCTCAGAGCCTTCCTATAATTAATTTTGAGGGAAAGGAAGTATGGAGTATAAAAATGTAAAAAAATAGAGAGGAATGCTCCTTATCTATCAATTAGATGCTCAGGTCAGTAAGAGATAATGGAGCTATCAGAATTCTGACATGTGTCATTGTTGGGGTAGAAGTGGGTGGGTGATCTACAGTGAAACCATACCAAGTTCCATGTACATGGTTGGAAAAATTAAGTAGTTCTCATTAAAAAAATGTTTACCCAAAAAAGTTTGAAAGGCTGGATTAACCTCTTATTCATCAAAGAATGATATTCTCTAAAAACGAAATTATGACAAGCCCTGTAATTGCTTTGCATTTTTCTTTTCCATCCAACCTGGCCTCCCCATGACATTTGTCCAAAAATGTCACTCTTCTCCTTCCATACCTTTTGCTCCTAAGACCCTGGAAGTTTCTTGCAGTACTTAGAGCCTGCACTTGCTTGCTCTATACAACCTGATTATTGTTGTGTATTATTGTTGTTATTTTATTCAGCATTCTTGCCATGGTGACTCTGGATGCAGACCAAACTTTGCAAACAATAATATGAATCATAATACCAAACAAACCACACACATAAGGAAAACAAAAAATATGGCAACTAAGGGTAAGACCTCTAGAACAATAATAATCCACCTAGGTTCCACTGTCTTCTGGACCTTGGTAACTGAGCATACAACAAGGACAACACTCATCTTTGCTTAACACTTTTCTGAATGATGAACCTTTCTCCAAATCTTTCGTTTATTCTCCCGCATAATTTATTTCCAATTTATATTCTTCTTGCTGCATTCAGCAAACAAAGTTGAACTCCAAACTTATCCATCTCTTTAGACTAATTTGCAGTCACTGCTTGCAATCAACTATTGTTTCAAGAATGTTTTCACAACTACTAGTACCAAGCTATGTTTCTCTATTCCAGCGGTTCTCAACCTATGGGTCGCGACCCCATTTGGGGTCGATCGACCATTTCTCGGGGGTCGCCAAACAAGGCGATCCGCCATTTTTCCCACACGGGGGCAGCGCCGTGCATGGGGGCGGCGCCGCACATGGGGGCGGCGCCGCGCATACGCGGCACGTTTGTGTGACGGGGGTCGCCGTCACACAAACATTGAGAAGCACTGCTCTATTCTATATTGCTATATTTGATTTTTTCCTTCATGAAGAACTTTGCATTTATCTTTGTTCATTTACATGGTGTTACTTTCAGTCCATTTTTCTGACCTATCATGATTGTTTTCAATTTCCTTTTGGTCTGCTGGAGCATTTGCTATCCCATCACATGTGTGTCATTTACATATTTGATAAGCATTTCTTTTATCTCACCCGAAACAGAAATATGAACACTGGAAAGTATTGTTCTGAACCATTGGGTATCTCAGTTGATACCTTATTCCACTTTGATAAGAAATTATTGATGATTTGCTTTGATACAGTTTTTAACTTTCACATGTGAACCTATTCACATACCATCCATGATATATTTAACAAGTTTGCTAATCAGACTATCATGGGGTACTCTGTCAAGTGCTTTGTTGAAATTAAGATATGTCTATAGCGGTCTGAAAATTCATTAAGAAAATTGTTAGATTAAAAAAATAAGATAAGGTTAATCTGAGAAGACATGCTCTTGACATATTCACAGTGATGTCTAGTAATTATCACAAATGTGAGCCACTGAAAGAGAACAAGATTGGATATGACTGCTCAACTTGTAGTGAAAAGAGCATTCCACTTTATAATATGAAAAATATATTATAGCTTTTTGGCAGAAATAGTATAAGTGTTTAACCTAACTCCCAATCCTTGACCCTGGAATGAGGGACAGTCAACAGACAGTCAGAGGAACTCCAATATTTATGGCACATGTTAATACCATTAGGATACCTACAAATGTGAAAATTTACAATGTCAATCGAATAGCTTATCAAATCATTCCAGGGGAAATGGCAGTGGGTGGTTACATAATCTCTTTATTTTTCTGTTATCTATCTATTTTGATGTTATTGCCAACATACATAATGGCAGGAGTGGATTTGCTTGGAGCTTTTTCCTGCAGTCTGCTGGCAGGGAGCCCAGTGGCTCACTGTAAGTTATTTCCGATAAAGTAAACTGTTATTTCTATCCCCAAAATGCTTTGGTGTTGCTTTAAAGATTATTTTCCTCACAATAAACCTAACTAAAGTCCTTACGATAGAGGCTAGGATTTATTTATTTATTTAGCATATGGCATATCATACACGGACTAGCAATATAATTGTCCCCAAGGTGTTTTTTCAGGAGGCACCTGGACTTACTTGTTTTTCTTTGAAGATGTTTCACTTCTCATCCAAGAAGCTTCTCCAGCTCTGATTGGATGGTGGGGAATGGAAGGATTTATATTCCTTGCAGACAGTTGGTCATTTGCATTCTTTGAGAGAGTCATTGAGGTCATTTGGAGGTTTATCTGTGTCCTCAGATAGGAAGCAAAATGTCTTCAAAGAAAAACAAGAAAATCCAGTTGCCTCCTGAAAAAACACCTTTAGGACAAACATGACCTGGATTATTGAGAATGTCCGTAGACAATTAGCAATATAAATTAACATTTCAACTAGTTTAATAGAATTCAGTAAAATATAAATATTAAAAAGATATTCAAATATCAATGTCTAGGCAATCTAACTGTGAAGTTCAGCATTGCTTTTATTAAAAAAAATAAGATCTTGGGACAGTATATGCCCTCAGCTTAAAGAAGGTACAATGTGATCTACTGTTTGACATGGGACCCCACAGTCACACTGAGGAGAGGATACTATGCCCCATTTATACAGAGAGTCCCAGCAGACACCATGGGAAATGTGAATCCTATTCAGGATTGTCCATTTCTGATGTGATAGTTCAAAGCCTGGCAACTTTTTTATGTGGTCATTTATATGTCTTCCTATAACTGGACATTTAGCGACCATTTGGCTTTCCCTTGGGAATTGATGTTAAAGTTGTTGGACAGATGTTTTGCAAATGCCATTGGGGGCTTCCTGAATTTGAGTCTTCCTGCTGATAAATGAGGAAAGTCAACATGCACCAGTGGGAGTGAGTTATTCAAAAGTGTTTCTTCCCAAGTACTACATAAGTGTTAGACTCAAAGGAAACTCAAAGGAGAGGGGAATATGACTGTGAAAAAAATTCATTGATGCTATTATTGAAAATTGCCATGAGGAAGCATATTACTCTGATTTCTCTCAAGATTTATAATCTTTCACCTTTTACTAAAGATTTCTGTGGATAAGAACATTTATGATTTTGTACTAGATTTTTGAGGTT